GCTGCTCAACGCATCTGGCGTCTGTGTGAGTGCTCGCCTACAATCTCACCCTGCTCTCTCTCTCGCTCCCTCCGCCTTCCTCTCATGGTTTCCTTTCTTTACCCTCACTCCCCTTCCGGTTCTTCTTCCATGCTCCTGCTTGTTCACCTATTCTATTTCAAACGAAACCAAACAATCACCGGTACCAGTATCTCTGCCCGTCTTTCTCCTTGCACCAAACACACACCCCCTCCACACTCACCCACCCACCACCCCTGAAACATGTACCAATGCATCAGGACGTGGTGTGTACAGGAGACTCCGACGCGTTTCTGTTTGGAGCCAAGGCCGTGGTTCGCGATATCTGCCTGCACAAAGGTGCGCATGCGGAGAGTGTGATGTGTTGGCAGGGTGCGTGGTGGAATGGAGTGGGTTGGCTGGGATGAAAACGAGCAATCAAGGCTGTGTTTTGTGGTATCTGCCTGCAGGAAGGTGCACCGTGGGAGAGTGTGGCTGGGATGGTTGGGCGTAGCTGCAGCGCAAGTACATTGTATACTCCTTGTGTATTTGACACCTTAAACAATTTGCCTCATCCCTTCTTCTGTGCTCACTGGTCTCCCTGCTGCTGTGACTCCAGGTGCCAACTGGGCTGTGCTTTACACTGCAGAGGACATCGCAGCCTCTCTCAGCCTCGGCCGAAACTCACTCGTACGATCCCACAAGCGCCATGCGATCCCATGCCATGCCACGGGACACTGTTCCCAACATGGCCAGACCATTGCATTTCCATGTCCTGTTGTGCTATACGTATGCCAAATCGCACCATGTTGCGCCACGACCACTCAAACTTCCACCAACCCTAATTCCCCTTGTCACTGCTCAGTCTTTGGCATTTGTTTCGTGCCCCCCTCTCCTCTCCTGCCCCGTCGCTGTTCAGATCGCCATGGGGCTATTTCTAGGCTCAGATTACTCACAGGGCGTCTCCACCGCTCCCACTCTTCGTGCCAGGGTGAGTTTTCTGCCTTAATTCGTGTGAATTATAAGTATTGAGTACCTCAACACGCATCCCATCCCATTGCTTCCAATTCCATTTCAGTATCTAACTCACTCCAGCCCACGAACCCAACATATTCCCTCTATACTGCCTCCTCATCCCCAACCCTGCCTATCAGGAAGAAGGTACAGTGCGGAAGATGGCATGCTAGCAGCCATGCGGGAGTGAGGCGTAACCCTTTGTGCCCTACCTCTCTCTAAAATCTCTAAGTATTGCCCCAAATATCCGCCTGCGTCCTCTGCCTCCTTCTTCTCCCCACACACCAGCAAGGAGCGGTGCAGAGGGTGGCAGCACTGGGTGAAGATGGCGTGTTGGCAGCGATCAGGGAAAGAGGCCTGGCTGCCATTGCTGCTCCCAGAGCTTGTAGGAGAGTGGGAGTAGGTGCAGGGACACACGGGAAGAAAGGACCGCAGAGGAGGGGAGTTGAAGGATCGAGTGAGAGCGACGTGAGGGGTTCTGGTGTTGTTAGCATGGAGAGTGGCAGTGGGGCAGACAGGAACCCAGCAGGAGGAGAACGAGAGAGTGAGGATATGGCGAGGGAAGGGGAGGACGGGGGGGAAGAGCAGGCGAGGGAGGATGCTGCGAGGGTGATAGAGGCGTTTCTGAGGCCACCTTGCCACGAGGCTGCGTCAAATGCTGTCCAGAGGTGAGGTTTTGCTCTGTAAATGGTTTAGGGTGAACTGTAGTGGCTGCAGCATGTGGTGTTCAGAGCGGGATACAGCAAGAGGAAGCATCCAAATGCTAGCAATGGATCGCCACTCTAAGTCACAAGTGGACTGGCTTCCACTCTCCATGAATGCATCAAGCTTCTCCCCATGTCACCTTTACCTGCCACCATTCTCTACATTCCCCTCTATTCCCACTGCGCATGTTTCAGTGCGTTACAGCAGCACTGCAGCCCATCACATGCGGACATCGTTGCTTTCTGTGACAGGCACATGGCATGGCCTGCTGATGTCACAGGTGCGTATGCCATCCCATGTTGTATGTCTACAATATGCAGTCGCGTGCAATCATCGCTTCCCTTTACCTTTCTTCTCCTTTTTAGCCTGATCTTCTTTCCCCTCGCTCCATGACACGATACCCAGTATGGTACATTGGGACCACTGGTCATGCTCCAACACCCCCACGGCCCACCCCCTCTGACCCCATGGCCATCACACCCACCCAGCACGGTACATTGGGTCCATGATAGCAGAACGAGATGTCATTTTTTCCCGTCTTTTCCCCCTGCCACGCTCCAACCACCCCCGCCCCTTGTCCCCACCACACTCAGCACGGTACATTGGGTCAAAGCTAGCAGAACGAGACCTCAGGCGCTTGCTGTTGGTGCAGCAGGCAGCAGAGATCTGTGCGACACCAGGGAAGGAAGCTTCCAGGAAACCCGAGGAAGTGGGGGGGATGCTGGATGGAGTGAGGTACAGGGTGGGTGGCATCGTGAAGGAGCGGTGGGTGGCTGGGCATAGAATGTTTGAGGTTTCATGGACCGGGCAGCCTGAAGTTGAAAACTCGGTTGTTCGGGCAGAACTGCTCACCAGGTAAGTGGTTGGTGTTGAATTTGTCCTCAGGAATTTTCTGTTTCGTCTTGTCTTGAGGAGTGTTCTTTCCTTCCAGATGTTATTACCTTCGTTGTTGCACTGGCAGAGTTCATCCGGAAATGGTGCGACTATACGAAGCAGAGAAGGAGGCTGGAAGGAAGAAGGGCCGAGGGAAACAGCAGAAGAAGGCAACGGAGATGAGGGTGGCAAAGGAAAAGGAAACGACGGAGAAGAGTGAACTCATGACTGGCTTGGGAGAGGCACCCAGAAATTATGTATGTGGCGGATATACAGAGTGGGAGGACGATGAGACGGAGTACCAGCAGACTCAAGGTGTGTCAGGGCAACCAGACCATACAGATGATTCAGTGACAGAGAGGTCACGTACATTGCTGCTTTCAGTGACGAATGACAGCAGCAGCGGTGAGAGAAGCGGTGCAGATGCGGGTACATCTGCTGATTTGGAGGGAGACAGGGAGCCATCCAGCAGATTGGAGCCCAGCCTATATGATCAGTTGGGCTTGGCCTCCAGGTTCAGGCAGATCGAAAGTTACCAGGCTGCTCAATCCTCTGCACAGAATTATGAAATACAAGCAAGGGAAGCGGTGCATCAGATGAAGAAGATTGTTGAGAGTGAGAGCCGTGGGGAGGATGTGGTTGAAGCGGGAAGGCAGGAAGTGGGAATGCTGAAGCGCTGCCAGAAAGCGGGTGTGAAGCCTGTGGATAGCAGAAGCAGGAAAGCAGTGAAAAGCAACGAGAATGGGCTGCTGTGGGTTTGGCAGCAGGAGGACTACCCACCCAAGGAGCATCAGAAGGGAAAGAGAAGCAGGTTGCAGGACCGTAGTGCAGTACAAAATGCTCAGCAACGGAGAGGGGGCCCATTGATTGACTTGACAAACTTGACCACCCTGCGAAATGACAAACAGGATTCAACGCCTGCAGTTAAGTCAGTTGGGATAAGCAATGGCGGTAAGACTGTGAGTGGTTGCATTGACATGATTCACCTGGGTAACGGTGACAGCCCCGGTGGAATGCGTGGAAGAGGACAGGCAGGAGGAGGCAAGCTCGTGAGTAGAGAAAATGTCCATGGTGGACCAGATAGATGGGTGTCTGCTGGCAAACATGAAGTGGTGGACTTGGACTCTCCAGAGTCTGTCACGGTGAAGGTGGCTTTGAGGGGAAATGCCATGCTTCACGAGGCAGGAGGCTGTCAATTGGCTTACAAACTCGACTTCGCGGCAGCCAAATGGGAGGGAGAACGTAGTTGCACTTTGGTGAACTTGATTGATTTGGAGGAGGATAATGATGACTAGATTGCTAAGATGGCTTGTTTATTTACCCCCTGAACCACAAGCTTTTTCCTGAGATAACCCAGATCGTCGAACGTTTTTCTCATGTCTTCTTGTTCAAAGCTAAATATTCCGCCAAATAGCACGAGATTGCAGTGACCGTGATTAGTTTTGCACCAACCGTCGTACTTGGCGATGGGACATCTTACTCTACGTGTTGCGCTAGACGGCTCCGCCCCTTTCACCAGCATTCAAGATGCAGTGGCCGCCGTCCCAGGCAAAGGCCAACCAACGAACATACAGATCGACCCAGGCACTTACTTCGAACAGGTCCGCAAACCACAAGCAACGTATTTTGATTATAGATTTGCCAGATTGCAGGATACTGCTGGTATTGACGTTTCAAGCGTTATCTAGTGAGCCGCTAAGCCTAACATTGCTTCTGCCCCCATGTGTGACCATTCCCGTCAGGTTCTAGTTCCATCGTCCAAAAAATGCATAAGATTCATTGGAACTGGACCTCCATGGTCAACAATAATCTGTTTCGACGCATTCAACGGAAAGGCTCGACCTCCGCACGCACTGTGCGCCTTAGGCGATCGTACGACTCTTATATACAACACGTACAATTGTGCGACAGTTCAGGTAAGAGGTTGCTGTGCACTCTAGCAATTCCAACTTTGAGTCTCTAGTTATGCCAGTCATTGCCCATTTCCCAATGTTCCCAGGTGGAGGCTTCAGGCATTATTATGGTTAACATTGTCATCGTCAACCAATCAAGGCCAGGCTGTGGTGGTCAGTCAGGGCAACACCAGGCAGTGGCGTTACGCACGTCGGGAGACGAGGTTCAGCTCCATGGGTGCTGGCTACGAAGCTGGCAAGCGACGCATTACGCCCATCAAGGGCGGCAGGTGAGCACCCCTCCTAATCGACAATGGAATTTCTTTACGCCTATCTTGTTGTCAAAGAAACAATGCTTTCAACGGCAAGTTTCAACCATGCGGAACAAACTGTTGCTAAACGTATCAGATGTAGTACAAGAGAAAAATATATAAACATGGGTCTGAATGACACTTGAAGCTTGAGATTAAGCATGAGCTTGTAAGCAATGGTACCAAAGCCAGCACCTCTGGATTTAAATTAGAAGGCGTAGGGGTCATCCACATTAACTTCAGAAACCTGCCAGTCAGCATTGTATCCAGTCGTAACCTGTGGAGTGGTCAGCTTTGTGTGTTTCAAAGCATCAACAATTGAGCAAGCATGGAAAGGAGGAGTTTGAACAAACCTTAGTGAAGTCCACCTTGGAATCATAAGGCTTATAGTCGGCTTCCTGTAATTTGAGATTCTGTCAGGAGAGGAATTGGAAATAGCATAACCGTCATATTAAGAGATGTATTACCATGTGCTTCAGCTTCTTCTTCTTGGAAAACGTAGATGTAGCTTTGGTGACGAAATCCAACTGGGCAAACCAAAGATTCGATTGCTCGTCAAGATTCTCTCTTCATCAAAGGTAAAGCATTGCTGAAGGGTACTTGCCTGTTTGGAAGTAGCAGCTTTTGCGTCCAAAGCAAGATCCTGCTGTTGTGTAGATATTGCTGGTTGGAGCCTCAACTTCTTCCCCGAAAGTTTTTTCTGTAGATTCAGAGTTTGTAAGATAATGCTCACCCTGAAAAAGTCATAGTCAAGCGCGTGGACAGCCCACCCGTGACTTCAGTGTCTTCGATGCAGTAAGATTCTGTGTTTCAGCTGCTCCATTGGACGCAGGAGTGGAGTCTTCCAACTTCTGTGCACAACCGACAAACTGGATGAGTCAATACTCATGAAGCTCAAGTCCCAGACGTTCTGCTCATTCCAGTTCTACCTTTTCCAGATGCGGTGCAGCTTGACTTTTGCCTGATTCCACATCCTTAGCCTCCATGGCTTCCTTGGCTTCACCTGACTTAGCCTGCACTAACTCGGGTAATTGATTAAGACAAAGTGCTGACGGCGCATTTCACAGAATTTAAAAGTCTTACCGTTTCCTCTGTCAGGCTGTCACGTTGTGACTTAAAAGGGGATTCTTGTTCTAGCTTCCTCTTCCTCAAAGAACTGTCAAAGCCCATCCGCTGAGTTTTCAGTGCGTTCTCATGATCCAGCTTCATAGCTTTAAGGATGCTGTCGTGCTCCAGATCTTTCTTCTTGATGACGTTCTCGTGCTCCATTTGAGTCTTTCGAAGACTGTCCTCATGCTCCATGTTGATCTTGTTCAGCATGTTCTCGTGTTCCATCTTTAGTCTGCTGATATGACCCTCCGCCTCAACTCTTGTTGTTGCGCATTCCTCTTCCAATCTCATCTCACTCTGTCGCAACTGTCACAGGTGCGATACATTAGTTAGCTCGGTGTGAAGCAAAATGAGCATATCAATTTGATTTTTGCTGTTTGACTCACCTCCTCAATTTGTTGCTCATAACTCTCCTTGAGTTGAGCTTCACGGGCCCTGCTTTCCTCCTCAAGTCGCGTGCATTTCTTTTCAGCTTTCTCCAGCTTCTCCTGTGCCTGCAGCAAGTCAACATGTAAACTCGGTAAGAACCTTTTTTTTTTTATTTTTAACTATTTCATGGTTGTTTAGCTACGTTACCTCTGCCAAGCACCGCTCTAGCTCGTCATGCAAATTGCGCAGCATGCCTTCATGGTTTTCCTGCTGTTGCTTGCACTTCTTTTCCATTCCTCGAAGCCTTGATTGTAGCTGCAAACACAATCTTGCCACATAAGATAACTCGAGAAGCATATGCAAATCAGCAAAAACAAGAGGCTTACCTCTGACTGTCGCAGGTCATTAATTTCCTTCAGCTTGTCCATATCAACCCTGTGTACCTCCTGTAACTCTTGATACTCCCGATCCATAGATGTCAACTTTTCCTTGAGCTGCATTAACACGAACCATTATGGACCTTCCAAAAGACTCATTCATACGCAGGCAAGTGAGTACACTGACCTCGGTGGATTGACGTGTCATTTCTTCTAACTGAATCCTAAGGGTTTCCTCACGTTCTGTCTTGGCCAGCTCAATCCTCCCTTCCAGCTCTTCCGTCAATGATGCAATGGCCTTGACATGGAAACCAGTGTTAGAAGGTTTGTATTGGTGCGTTTTGTGAGCACAAGAATACTTGTGCTTACCTCTGCATGTTGTTGCTCCATCAACGCTCTTGCAGTCGCCATCTCTTCGCTCTGCTGGAGCTTTAATCTCGTAACCAAATCCTCTGTAGATTGAAGCTTTGACTCAACCTGCAGAGAATAGCATTAGATGCTTGGAGTCAGTTCGTCAATGCACAGCAGCTCACCTTATCAATAGCAGCCAGACACTCTTCTTCTTTAAGCCGCAACTTGATTTCAGTCTCTTCCACAAACGAGGCAAATGATGCACGATGCGTATCTTCAAGCTCCGACACCTATTAAGACTGCTGTAAGCTGATCGGCCTCATTTTTGGGCATTGTCCGGGCAAGTAGAGGCAAGCTTACCTGTGACTTATTTTTCTCAAGGAGGGTTTTGATCCTGGCCCCATACTTCTCCTTCTCTTCTGCCAATTGGTTCTGAAGGTTTTTCTTGGCGCTCTCAAGTGCATCTTGAGCCTGTGATATGGCAATGGATGTTATTGCATCTTGTGGTGACGACTTTATGAGCCGACAAATCTTCCATGTCCACACCTTTTTCCGCTCTTCATCCACACTCCTTGTTGCCTCTGCCTCGAATTCTTTCCGCATCTCCGCCATAGCGAGATTATTGCGCCTTGAAATTTCCTGCAGATGTTTCTGCAGTTCAAGCTGCTTTGATTGCATCTGCCTTTGGTAGTCCCTCTTCAGATCCTTTGCTTGCTTCTCTGCTGACATCAGCTTCTCCTGACACTGGAAACCCGATACTCTGGTAAGTTTCTCGCAATATTTACGGAAGAAACACCGAAGTATGTGTACTTACCTCCTTATAGTCCTTTTCAAGTGTCTCAATTTGTTCCTTCATCTGGCTCGATGCAGCTTCATTCGCCTCAAGGTTCTCTTTCAGTGTATTGTTCCTAGAGACGAGCTGGGCTTCAGCTTCTGTCTTCGCTGCAACAGCTGCAGATAGCTCCTGATTTTCTGTCGTAAGCATAAATAGTTTCGCTTCCAAGGACTCCTTGGTGCTTTTCAACTCAGTGGTTAAGCACTGCAACTCGGCTTGCAATCCTTCCTGCAAAAGAAAAGGCTTGTGAGATGCAAACGAGAGAGCTTTTGCCATGAACGTCTGCTAGTACGTTACCTTCTCCTGTGTTGTATTCCTGTCCTTATCTTCCAATGCAGCCAGCTGATTTTGAAGCTCCTCTTTTTCGCTCCCAGATTCCTTGGCTCTGGCCTCCAAGTCTTGCAATGTTGTCAGGAGCTGACTTATTTTTTCCTTGGACTGACCGTGCTCGGACTCAAGCTGGCACATGGTCTTTTTCCACTTTTCTTCTGCCTCTGTTAAAAACAACACGCGATTGAGTTGGTGCATGATACGTGTAAGCGAGATCATTCCAGCTAAGATCATGTACCTTTTGATTGTTGTTCCATTTGCTGAACCCGGGTTTGCAACTGTTCACACTCCTTGCGTGCTTCATGCAGCTCCTGTTGAAGTTCTTCCCTTTTGATCCTCTCTTCTTGAAGCCTTACATTTGAAGAGCTCAACTGGCTCAGAATGGCATCTGCATTCCGCGTTGACAGTGCGTTCACACTATCAAGTGCAACCAGCTCCGCTGACAGTCGATCGACATGAGCTTTGAGCTCTTTCACTTCGTCATTTCTGTGTTCCAAGGTTGTCTGTAATAACTTTATGTTGGCCTGGTGGCGCGAGATCTCCTTCGACTGCAAGAAAACACGACAGTAAGTCTTTGTGTTTATTGAAAAGCAACTGGTTTCCCCAAAGAATGCTGCTGTACCAAGGACGTGTTGGAGAGCTCAAGCTGCTTCATGTCTTCCTTATAGTTTTCCACCTCCACTTGTCTTTGCATAAGTGTTGAAGCAAGCTCTTCGCATTCTTTTTCTTTGACATGATATGCTGCCTGCGATGATTGTGCTTGTTTCACCAAAGTATCTGACACAATAGCGAGCATGGTTGTTAGCCGTCTGTGAAGAAGACGAAATCGCAACGGTGAGTCTCACCTCTTTCAGAGCTGTACTTTTGAGCTTCTCGCTTCTTGAGTTCAAGAGAGGACTTTAATTCCGCTTCCAGCCTTTTTAAACGCATGCATTCCTTACGGCCTGCATCAACGGCGTTTTTAGCATGACAATATCTCGCACGAAGGTAAGCAACAGGGAAAACACTTACTGTCGCTGGCGTTAGCGTTCATCAATGCATTTTCGTTTTGTAACTGGACGAGCGCTGTCTTCAGCTCTTCTATCAAGAGATCCTGCTTTCCAAACTTATCGTCCAAAAGTCGACGAATTCCTTCCTCTGTAAAGGAAGCCAACGTGAGAAAAAGAAACTGGTAGGAACAAGTCTTCTGAGAGCAACCATGAGCGAGATCGTTACCTTGTACTAGCTGTCTCTCGATCTGCTTATATACGTCACAGACTTGTTCATACTTGGTGAAACTTTGGGTGTGGGTAGCGTGTGTTTCAACACTTGCTGCACTCATCAATCTTCGCTTCTTCGAGATGGTACTTGGTGACGCGGGAACCACATCCTGAGAGGAAAAAAAAAAATCAGTTCACTGAACGCATTTGAGAAATCGATCCTGGAATTGTCGACCGACCTGAGAGCGGTATTCGACGATCTCGTCTCGAGCCATCCGTTTCGGTGGATGGTCTGTCACAAAAGGTTTGTGCGAAAATGACGGTATTCCCTTGGATCTGGTTTTTATGCCGAACCAGGAGCAGCTCACAAATGTGCCACCGCGTCGCATTTGTCACGGGGAAACGATTGGGGGGTCGGACTCGCTAAAGTCACTCGCGATATTAGTTCTGAAACAGGAAACATCAATAAAAAGTCCATAAAATTTACAGTCAGCTCTTGATTATTTTTTCTCTTGGCCCCTTTCTTGCATACTTTTGCAGTACTTCTCCAGAAGTATTATCGAAGGACACGTGGATATTGTTTTTGGAGGGCCAAATGTCAAAGCAGTTTTCTCTAAATGTTCAATTCTAGCCAAGGCCCAAGGCACATTCACGGCTCACTACCGAGACCTCGACACTTCACCACAAGACACTGGCGCTTTTGTGTTTCAACGTTGTGCTTTTGATGGTGAGTGTATTCTCACTTTGCCGTGATTAAGTTTGGTTGATAATTGTACTGTATAATGTTTCCCTGCTGATGTTTTCAGGCACGTCAAGTACAAAGGGTCCTTGTTACCTTGGCCGCCCCTGGCGCCCGGATGCACGGGTCATCCTATCACATTGCTTTATTGGTCAGTGTGTGCCACGGCGTGGTTGGGACCGCTGGGACAGTTCCACTGACATTAACAGGCCAACGTTTTGGGAGTTCAGATGTGTGGGACCTGGTTCGATCGTAAGTACCATTCGTGTTCAACAGAATCATGAGCTTTTATTGAGACCCGCATAACATGTGCTTGACCATAGGCGTCTCTGTTTGTAATGGCCTTGTTGTTGCAGAATGCGCCTTCCTCCACCGATCAATCTTCAGACCAAGATAGACATACGAAAGGTCCTCCATCAGAATCACCGCGATTCATTGGCCGAGAGCCTTCAGAAGCTGAAGTTGCCCCATTTCTAGACTGGCCATCCTTTTTTGCATTGAAGGTCTGCCCAGAGACGACCTTTCCTGGGCCAGCGCCGCCGTGCTCTGTTAATGAAGATGGACCACTCGGAACTCCTCGTCCTCCAATTGAAGGTATAGTGTCTGTCTGAGGACCTACATGTGAGTTGGCCATACGCACATTCTGTTGCAGAGGATCAGCATGGTATCTAACCCAATGTTCACTCTTTTTTGCCAACCCCAGAAACCACTGCTGTGACCGCTGCTGCAAAAAGAATGATCCTGGTGGGTCCAAAGGCACCAAAAACAAAAACCTCAGCCCATGACCCTGTGCATGGTACATTGAAGCACATCACGAGAGTGCAGGAGGGCATTGATGCAGTGGATTCTGGAGGGAAGCACGCCACTGTGATCGCAATCCAGCCAGGCACATACTTTGAGCAGGTGGGCAGGTGGTAAAGTTTTCGTATGCGCACTGCACAAATTGTAGTTTTCTTTCCCTCCTTTCATGGCCTACCAATGCTTGAACCCACAACTAATCCGCTTGCCAGGTACGAGTCCCCTGCAACAAGACAAACATTCTGCTGCGGGTGGCATCAGTCGAAGAAGGGGGCACAGGTGGTGGGGAGGTCCGGATAGTCTTCAATGCGCACGCAGGAAAGCCTAAGCAGCAGCAGCAGCGGTGGCAGCAGCAGCAGTAACAGCATCAAAGGGAAAGATGCCAGTGCTGATGAGAGGTACACGACATACACTTCTGCAACTTTTGCAGTAAGAAAAAGGCAAAGATTGGCCATGCCTCGTACAACCCGCCTTTCTCATACCACGCTTTTGAACACTCGCCTTCTACTACGCATGTCCTTCTCCTCGGTACTACTGTCTATCCTTCCTGCTCTCCTCCCCTTCTCCTCTCCTGACAGGTGGAGGCAAACGCTTTCACGGCAGAGGGGATAGTGTTTGAGAACGCAGCAGGGCCTCAGTGTGGGGGTGCGTCAGGGCAGAACCAGGCAGTGGCAGTGCGAGTGACAGCGGAGCGAGCAGCGTTCCACCAGTGCAGCTTCCTGGGGTGGCAGGACACGCTCTATTTGCACCGTGGAAGTGCGTGGTTCAGGGATTGTCGAGTGGAGGGATCTGTGGACTTCATCTTTGGAGGGCCCAAGGTTAGGGGGAACAGGAGTGTCTGCTCTCCTCTTGCCTGCTGTTGCCCAAAAGTTTTCTTCCTACTCTCAGTTTTCTTGCCATTTCCAGTCACTTCAGTCTACAGACACTTTTCCTGCCCATTCAGTCTGTGATCTGTTTTCCTGTGATGTAACGCTGCTGCTACCCCTTCTGCCGTTTGTGTGGTCAGGCACGAGGATACTGGAAGGGATGTGAGGTGGCAGTAAGGGGCAGGGGGTGGGTGACGGCTCACCGCAGGGACCTCACTCAGTGGCCTGACGACACCAATGGTGCATTCGTCTTCGATGCATGCTCCGTTCAAGGTACTCAATGCCAGGGCTCGATCCACCCAATCTCTTCCATCTTTTCGGCCTCTCATTCCATTTTTTGGAATGGCCATGCTCTTCACATACCAACCCCTTTGGACCACGCATATTCATTCCTGTTGCTATCCTGCCCACCTGCTTCTCCCTTTCGATGCTGCCAGCGGCAGATGCATCAGTGCCTGACAGCTGTGCGCTGCTTGGGCGGCTGTGGGGTCCAGACGCGCCTGTGCTGATGCATGGGTGCAGCATTGGAGCCGTGGTGAAGGCAGAGGGGTGGGGCGCATGGAACTCGGCCACTGACGTGTCTCGCCCTCGATTTCTCAAGTGGGGGTGCACTGGACCCCGTGCTTCATTGGCTCATGTATGATAAAACAGTCTGCCCTCTCAATTCTGCACATCCCATTGCCTTACTATCACATTTTACACACCATTTGGCACTCTTGACATGCTTTGTCCTCCCTGCATCTACTGCCTTTCATTCTGATGTATAACCCCATTTCTTGTCCTGCCCGTAATTGCAGAGTGTCATGATAGGGACGTATGAGTTTAGGAGGGCCTAGGCTTAGGAGCCTAGGCCAAGGGGTGTCGAGGGAGTTGTGCCAAGAGTGTGTTACGAGAAAGGAGAGGGGTTTCACTATAGCACACAAGGTACATATAGCAAAGCAACAAAGAAGGTGCACCACCAACTCTTAATAATAATAACTACAGTACCTACAGCACGCAGGGTATATATTAAACATATTGTTTGACACACCCCCTTAGCCTGCGTGCGGTAGAAACTGGTGCAGCCAGCACCCCCTGAACGAGCAAACCAAGCGCTGTGGAAGAAGGCAGAGAAGTGAGGAAGGTGAGAGGAGAGGAGAGAAGAGGAGAGGAGAGGAGAGGAGAGGAGAGGAGAGAGGAGAGGAGAGGAGAGGAGAGGAGAGGAGAGGAGAGGAGAGGAGAGGAGAGGAGGTGGGGGGCCAGGACCGGCGGACCCGCTTACGAACCTCCTTTTACAAAGGGGAGGTGAGAGAGGGAAGGGAGAGGAGGTGGGCTAGGCGGGCTTGAGCGCGAAAGCTCATAGCGATCCCCCCCCGTTAAGAACCCCCAAGTCCCGATGAGGAGAGGAGGTGGGCTAGGCGGGCATGAGCGCGCACGCTCAATGCGATCCCCCCCCGTTAAGAACCCCCTAGTCCTCACCCCCCTCGTCACTCAACCCCGTCAACCTCACACCTTCCGCACCTGTCTTCTCCCGCCACCCCCTCACCCTTCTGCACTTCTCTCCCCCCCCCCTTCTCTACGGCGACAATCCCTGCAGTAAGAGAGAGGGGAGGGACGGGCTGCAGGCAGCTCACACATGCCACCCACACATCTCCCCCTCCTCCCTTACCCTCTCACATCCCCCCTTACCCTCTCTCCCCCCCCCCCCCCCTACAGCAACAGTTGCTGCAGGGAGAGAGGAAGAGGGAAGGGAGGGAGGAGTGGCAGGCTCCTCACACCCGCCCCCCCCCCACAACCCCTTCCCCCTCCCTCCCCCCTCCCCACGACGGAAGCCGCGGAAGGGAGGGCGGGGGGGGTGGGGCGGCGGTAGCTGCTGCTGGCGCTGGCGGCTGGCCGCGGCGCTGGCCTCCGCGCTGGCGGATTGCGGGGTGACGGGGGCGACGAAACGGGGGCCGCGTGGCGACGAAATGGGGGCCGCGTGGCGACGAAACGGGGGGGCAGCGGGCGACGGGCAGGGCGTCCGCGGGGCAGCCGACGGGGCGTCCGCGAGGCAGCCGACGTGGCACGTTCGGGGGGACGGGCAGGGCGCGCGCGACGGGCGAACGGGGAGAAAAAAAAAAATAGCGCATTTCGCGCTGTAGTACGGGCGGGCCCATGATTCTTAAAAAAAAGAGAAGGTTCCGGGAAAGAACCAGCTCTGTACCATGTCAAGATAGGGACGTATGAGTTTAGGAGGGCCTAGGCTTAGGAGCCTAGGCCAAGGGGTGTCGAGGGAGTTGTGCCAAGAGTGTGTTACGAGAAAGGAGAGGGGTTTCACTATAGCACACAAGGTACATATAGCAAAGCAACAAAGAAGGTGCACCACCAACTCTTAATAATAATAACTACAGTACCTACAGCACGCAGGGTATATATTAAACATATTGTTTGACACAGAGGACCATAGGACGACAGGCAACACAAGAGGAGGTGGATCAGCTGGTGCCTGAGAGTGTTTTCTTCCATGACTTGCCATATTTCCCTACTTCCACACCTGTACCTTGATTGAATCTCATTACTACCCAACTCCACAGCTGCATGAGACTGAATGATAGCATCTTTCATGTTGTATGGTTCAGGTAAGCCATTCCATCACCTGTTCATAACAGCATACCAGACTAAAAACAATAAACCAACACCGCACGCACAGTATACAACAATGGCTAGTGTGCAACTACCTTATATACAGCTAACAGTACCTAGGAGCGCACCACCCAAGACTTTATTGGAAGCTCTTTGAGCCTAAAATGCGTGCACCTTCCAGACCCCAACCCTTCACCCATGGCCATGGTACATCCCTCTCACTCGTTCCTGGATCGTCCTCCTCTCCTCCTGGGACACATCAGAGAAGGCATGTGAGGGCAGATGCTCCAGTGGTGGGCGGCAGTGCTGTGGGCGGCTGTCTGCCAGGTCGTATGTGGCGCCCCGTATCGCCTCCCACCTCGGGCCGCACGGCCGCTTGGTGGTAACCATCTCGTATGCTGTCCTCAGCTGTGGGGAGACAGGGAGAGGAGAATGTGGGGTGAAATGTTCAGGGGGATGGACGCGAATCCAAGCCTGACTAAGCAGGAAGGTTGAATTAAAGGGTGTAAAGCGAAAGAGGAGCAGTGGAGGGCAGTAGCGGAGAATAAGTCAGTACGGCAGGGGAGGGACTCACGTCCATGTCACGGAACCAGAAGAGGAAGGCGATGGCAGCAGCAGGCGCACGGCCAAGGCCGGCAGTGCAGTGCACGAGCACAGTCCGTCCCCTTGACACATGCCGCTCTATTACCGCCACCATGCCCGGCAGCTGATGCCTCAGCGAGTGAGGGTCGAAGTCCACTGCCTGGTAAGAAGTAGATGCACAAAGGGCCAGGTTGGCAGGGAGGGCGAGGAGAGGAAGGGGGAAGGAGCGCGGGTGAGCGAGGCGTTGGGATATGATGGCGCACGCGAGCGAGGAGAACTGCCATTGAGGCTTCGAGGGGGCAAGCCACATGAACTGGTACATTCTGAGCACTCAAACGACTAATCAGGAAAGAATCGTACGGGTCGGCGGTAGTGCCGGAGCCCCAGCTGGCGGCAGTGGTGCGTGATGCGGTGGATGTCAACGCCCCAGTACGCGATGTCGTGGTCCTGCTGCAGGTTCAGCACCACCGCCACCTCCTCCTCGCGCTGCAGCCGCTCTATGTCGTCCGGGCTCTGCGGCTGAGAGCCCACCAGCAGGTGCTGCGCGATCCGCGTGTAGTACATGCCTGCTCCAAACGTAAGTTCGTGTGGTTGTGAATAAGGTTTAGCGTGCTGTGGTCCATTCTAAACATAGGAACCTAGAAATATGCGCGTGTTGCGGGTGCGTGCATGAGAAGGTCGTGTGCTGCTGGAATTGGCAATCGAACAGCAAAATCTCAGTTGGTAGTAGGTTACTGAGTCAGTCACATTCAAAGTATGTGAGCTTACCAAGGTGGTGGTGATACTCGTAAGGGTTAGCCATGGCTCGTTTCATCCGCATGTTGTACTCCGACGACGAGATCACGATCCCTGAACTGTCCGAGTCTGACGTGTCATCACCACCATTCAGCCTGCCAGTCGCGGTGTCGCCGACGTTCAGACGGGCTTCAAAGCACGGACTCTGCAGGGTTAGGCTCCCTTCTAGGGCCGCGACAGTGGAGCTCTCCGCAACAAGTCCGGACGCAGAAGGAGCAGCAGACGCGGAGATTTGAGGGCCATGGTGCCTGGCAGTACGGTGGCTTGAGGTGCTGGAAGGTGGAGTAGATAAGGTTGCTAAATTTGCGGCGAACAATGAGGTGGTGCTGCTTAGCGCAATGCACGGAGACGGGAACATGCTGGAACGCGGGATGTTAACGGGAAGAGGTTTGTGGCAAGTCTGGTTGGCGGTGTCTAGGACAGATTATTCGCACTAGCGTCCTTGTTATTTGGTGACCATGAAGACGAAGCGAAAGTTTCCAGCGCAAGTAGGAGAGCTCGCCGGTCGCGGCGGATCAACGGCAGTTCCAGTGGTGATTCTTAGTGCTATTGATTTAGCCTCTCGCCCTCCTCCGCTCCGAACAAGTTGTCAGACCCCACTCTACCATCCGATCTTAGAGCACTACGGAGGAGTAAAAAAGGGACGCGATGGAATATAATGCGAGAGGTGGCAAGGCAATCCGCAGCAAACGCTGCAAACTCCGACGTGCTAGACTGGTGTCCGTGGAAATGGCGGCTTGGTTTTATAAGCCGACACTGTGCTGTGTTGGGCTTGATTGTGCTGTGTTGTGCTGCTCGTCCTATTCGCTTGCTGGGAAAGGGAGGCTTGCTGGTGGTGAGGTGAGGGGAAGAGAAGAGGCTCCTCTCCTCATGCCATTACAATTCCTGATCCCAGCGTCGTCAAGCACGAGGATCGCATGGCTGAGGTTTGCGTTGCATGGCCCAGATTAGTTCAACATGGAAGCGCGAGGACCGAAAATCAACGGCAGCCACACATGGTGGGTGACGATGACGTGCTGCGAAGCGGTACGAGAGACGGCTTGGGGTTCGCGAAGGGAGCAACGACAGGCGACGGATGCAGTGCTGGCATATTCGCCATATGCAGCCCCTATGAGCCACCGCCACAACGGATCCAATGAGTCACCTCCACGCGTGATAAACGGCGCTCCAGCATAAGATCGAACAAAGCCACCTCATAGTAACCCGGAGCTTGCGTCATCCTATTGATTCCTCCTAGGTCCACTTGCGATAATACAATTTACAATCACAAAATACGTCCGCTGTCATGGATATTAGAAGCACAAAATACACTTTGTTTTTGTGCATTCTGCGTATTCCGGCAAGTACATATACCTAGATCTTCTGTATCGAGGATGCCCCAACAAGGGATCCAACTTCTGCATTTCCCCTCGGGATTGTCTACAACCAACAACCATCACACTCCGAACGGTATCTATGGTCGCCGCGAACTGCGGGCAATGATGAAGGCCAATGGTGCGAACGATCTGCACGCCATTTCAGCTCGTCACCATGGTCTATGGCGTCCCTCTCGCCATCAATCTAAGCCTATCAGGGTCGCGAATCGTGCATCGCATTCGCATCAGAGATCTCGACTGACGTTAGAGCGGCAGGACATTCTCGGCGCTTCCGCATGGAGCCCATGGCGGCGATCGCTGTGCGTGGGTCGCGCGAGAGGCGTCCTGCTTGCTACCACAGCTTTAGCTGCTCTGTTCCTGCTGTGGCATTCCCACGTGGTGCCACTGTTATTCAGCCAGAAGGTAACTTACTCTCCTCAGCAATGTATCCAGGGAGACTTCCTCGATACTAATCTATTCCCGTCCCGTGAATTGGCGTTATCGTCACGACCTGTCCGTATCTGTCCCAACTACCCACCGTTTACATCACATTTCCCTTTCCATGTTATGTTCGCCATGTGTCCAGGCGTCCCATTTTCAGAAAACGCCAGCCACTCCGCCATCCCCGCCCAGCCTGCCTCTAAAACCTCCACCAATCGACAGTGCGAACATCAAAACACCCTCCAATCCAACTCCAGCCACTCCCCCTCATTCCTCGCAATTCTCCTCCCCCCTGTCCACCAATCTCTCCCCCAATCCCGCTCTCACTCCTTCTCCACCCCCTTCTTCCGAATCCACCCCCACTCTTCCACCATCCCCTCGCTCCCCTGTCCAACTCCCCCACCCTGCGCCAGCCTCGGGCTGCAGCTGCTACCGAGTGCGCAACGTGTACTGCTGCAAGCAGGCCCTCTGCGTCTGCCACTCCCTCTGCTTCAACGGCTCCGCTCTCCTCTCCGCCCCCACCGCTCAGCCAACCTCAGGCAAAAACAGACAGAATGCCGAATCTCTCTCACCCCCCTGCCTCCCGCCTCAGTACACCCTGAACCAGGTACAGCCTTCCCCAGACAGTGCGAGCAGCAGCAGCGCGATTACAGACGTGCTGTCTCCCATTCCCTGTGGTCGGAAGGCAGAGTTTGCTGCCTATCTCAACATGGCTCTTTTAAGCCGAAGCCCCCATTAGGGGAGGCTTGCATGCTGCCAGTGAGGACACGTGGCGCAAGTGGGTTGGTCAGGGGGGAGGGAATGGGGGCAAGGGAGGGATGGCAGAGTGGCGGGACGGCAGCACGCTGCTGATACCTCTGGACGACCCCACCACCAACGTGGCTCACTTCATTGGTGCGTGTGCCATGCCACCCCTTCGCTTCCAGTTGATCCAATTACCATTGTTCCTCTTTTTCACTGCCTGGCTGTTGGGATGAATTTGGATTCTTTTGCCCGCGCAGCCCATGCTGTCGTATGTCTTTGGCTCTGTTGTTTGCTACTGCTCTCAAACATGCTTGGGCTTGCTAATGGGCATTCCTGGTCGAACCATCTCAATCTGGCTCCCTCTTTACACTCTGTGTGTGTGTGTGTGTCTGTGTGTGTGTGTGTGTGTGTGTGTGAGAGAGAGAGAGAGAGAGAGAGAGAGAGAGAGAGAGAGAGAGAGAGAGCATGTGTGCCTCCTTGGGCAATAATGGTGTGTGAGGATGTGCACACACATATGCGGTCATGGGCGTGTTTGTGTGTGCGTGTGTGCGCGTGCGGGGGAGGGGGGCTGTTGGGAGGATGGATGGGGGAGGGTCAGGGGGGTGTGAATGATGTGAGTGGCAGGGAAGGCGGCTCAGATACTTCTAGTCAACAATGCATCAATGCCCACGGCTCTTCCTCTCATCACACGATTCCTGCTGCCACGCACCCCTGCTGCTGCCTCCAGGTGTCTGCCTGCTGTGCTTTCTCACATCTACTTGTTCTCACGGGTTTTCTTTTATCGCCTAATTTGGAGTTTCGCATCGTTGCACAGGCTTTCCTCTGGCGGTTCTGGCGTGCTCTTTGCTGTGCAGATCATGTACCGCGCCCGCACCATTCACTGCACATCGTTCTCATCTAATCCACATCTTGCTCTTATCTGGTCCTCTCTGCCTTCCTCTGCACCCCCCTTTCCGTCTGGGCCCCCCTGTTCGTATGTCTGGCACGGTTATCCCTGCCCCTCAACCAGGATGCGGCAGCATGGGCAGCACGGCTGGATCCCCTCTGTGCTGCACATGCTGCTGCGCATCGCACTTGAGCCCCTCCTTAACCACGCCGCTCTCTCCCACCACACCCCCTCACTCCCACTCAACCCTCAATCTCTAGCTGCTGCAATCTCACCCGAAGCCTTAGTTGGTGCATCCATTGGTGCCGCAGCACGCACGGGTGCGAGCACTGGTGGCAGTGGTGGTGGAAGTGGTGGTGGTGACGGTGAGGAGGTGCTGGCAGGGGCGGTGGAGTTTGAGTCAGCATTCAGCAGGGCATCCAATGCACATCCCATGTGCTTCCATCGCCTTGTGCTGCCAGGCTACCTCAAGGTGCCGCTGCCTGCGCTCTCTCCTCCCTCCTCTCTCCTCTCTACCCCAACTGCCTGCCCTCCCTATTCATTCCTTTCTGCACGTGTCTCTCGTCCGGTCATCTCTCTGCAGGTGTTTCTACTTCTTCCAGGCACAATATGTTAGGATGCTCTGATGTCGTGCTATATTTCACTGTAGTCTGCCGTGTTGTAACTGCGTTGCATTTCATGGGCTAATCTCAGCACAGTTGTGAAAAACAACCCATCTCTGCATTCTCCCGCCACTACATGAACTCCCCTGCAGGCCATCACCTTCCCAGGGGGCATGGAGCAGGCCGACATGTTCAAGAGTCGCCTCAAGGAGGCCTTCCCCCACCCCGACCCTGACCCCTTCCGCACTCTGGCGTCGCCAGACAATGCATCTATAGGAGATGCGTCTGCTGGGAGTAGTTCAGCTGATAGTGTCACTGTTCGTCTGCTGTACATCACGCGCAATGCATCGCTCACACGCGGCCGCCGCGTGATGAGTGCTGAAAGCTCCGGCGCCCTCCTCAAGCTGTTTCACCAGCTGAAGTTCCAGGTGCGTGCCCTCGTCTTGTCACCATAATGTGACTCTGCCAGTTCCCTACCTGTCTTGCTGCTTGAGTGTCCAGTGGTATTAGGGCATGGAACATTTTTACGAACACGTAGAATGGTCGAATTTATGGTTGCTTCTCGCGATTGCGAAGCATTTAGGGAAACCCCACCGTGTGACATGCCCAGTATTCACCCTCACTCGACCGAATGTCAATGGTATTTCCCATCGGATTTTTATCAACCAAACCTACACTGTCCAGAGAAGTGGGCAAACGTTTAACTTCGATTGTACCTCAAAAGTGTTTTCCAGCCCAACTCTACTTGCAAAACACACAACTTTCCGCTCCCCTCGAGGTTCCACACCCCTTTCGAATGCTTAAACTAGGACCGGATGTTTTTTCTTAGTGGGGGTAGTTATTAGTGGGTGCCCCGCGTTCTGGCGAACAGAATAGCTTAAAAATCTCGCATCCTTCGCATCTCTGTTACACTCTTCGCAATCGCCAGATCCAACCATACAGGCGACCATCTGGCATGGTCGAAAAAATGTTCCACGCCCTTACTGCCTTCCCCTTCACCTTTCACTTAATCCCTTGCCATACTCCTCCCATACCCTTGTTCCTCATTTTTTCCCACCCCCAATCTCCCATTCCCCCATTCCCTGATGCCTCTATTCCCCCATTCCTCGATCATCCCCATCACTTCAGCTTCCACCATTTCCTGACCCTCTCATTTCCCCAGTTCCCTTCCACCCCTCCAATACCCCACCCCACCCTTCCCTGCCCCCACTGTGCCGGTTCGCCAGGTAGCTCAAGTGGAGTTCACGCCCCTCACCTTTGCCCACCAGCTGGCCCTGGTGCAGGCGGCAGACATCATCGTCTCGCTGCACGGCGCAGGCCTCACCAACCCCGCCTCCTTTGCTCGCTCCGACTCTGTTCTCTTGGAAATCTCCCCCTATGGAGTCTTCTACAATCTTTACTATTTCATGGCGGTGAATGCCGGGGTGACCTACATGCTGCACCAGTGCACAGCCGGACCTGCTCCCATGCCTGCCAAAGATGCGGAATTTCGAGGCGTTGGCCCGTTTTCCTGTGACCATGACCCAGCATGCAAGCAGTATCGAACTCATGACCGCCCGGTGAATCTTGGGAAGAACGACATTGAAGAATTGGGGAGTCTGCTTGCAGTGGCCCGGAGATTGATTCTGGATGTGAGGAAGAAAGGGATGCGTGAGGGAGGAAAGAGGCTACGGAGGACATATGGGAAGCTGTGTGTGTCAAGGAAGAGGAATAAGGATTGTAGGATGAATTTATTGAGATCTCCCATAGCTGACCCATCTTATGAATGTGTTGTGTCAATGGAGTGTCCTTATGTTTCCAAGTGACTGAGGCACGAACTGAATTCTTTTTTGAAGGGATAATTCTGAGCACAAACAGTAATTATTGCTCTGTGAATGGACAAGCACATAGACCCTCGGGAAATGATCAGATTGGGGCCCCAAAGCTCTAGAAAAGTCGCCGACTTGGGGCCTCGTGTGTCGCAGGAGTCGAACCTGGGCCGGGCCTGTACCCAACCAATTTCGAGCCTCATCCATGCGCTTCGTCAGACCAGACCACACAAGGTGACGAATTCTTGCTTGACGTGACGACATCGAGAAGTTTGAGTCTACATTTTAAAATTCACAAATAATCCCCTCGTGTGCCGTTCCTTCGAAGGGGCCTCAGCCCTAAACATCTTGCCGCACGGTGTTTAGGGTTGATGCTCCCCAATTATATGCCATCCGAATGGGGTATATTTTTATGTACCATTGCGATGTTGTTTTTATGGGTATAACGATTGGTTTTCTGGGCTATTTACGATGACGAGTCACTAGCGAATTCCGTCAAACCCAGGCCAGTAGGTGGTGACCTGGCGAGAAGGCCAGGTTCGGCCGAACTGCCCAGGTTTGTTGGTTGCTTCGGGAGTACGTAATAGGGGTGCGACTCACGAGGCCCCAAGTTGGCCACTTTACTGCCACTCCGGGGCCCCTTCCTGATCTCTTCCCTAGACCCTCACGTCCAACAAACCTCGAAGCGCAACTGTGAGAACCCCATCGTCAGACTTTTGCCATGTGGCATCACACTCGCCACTAGTCAAGCTTTGACCCATGAGCCTGGTAATGGAGAAAAAAACAGAGAATGCACAATGATGATGGTGCGATGGCCACGTGACATCATCGGAAGGGGGAAAAAGTAATATCCCTCACAAAATAATTCGATTCTATTATGAAGTCACATGTTCTCTCTACAAGAGGGGGGTCTTATAATGTTTCCAGTCAAAAAGGGGGGTATAGAAAAAAAATACCCAAATATAAGACCCACGTCCGTATTATAGACCCGGGGGTCTACAACTGGGGGGGGTCTTATATCCGGGTGATTACGGTAATACTCTCAAGAAGACCTGACACCTGCACACACACAAACAAGACAAGCGGGTTAGTGGCTGCAAGCGGGTTAGTGGCTGCAGGCACGTTCACACTTGACAATAAGGCGTCAACAAGGAACATCGCTGGAGAGGGATCAGTTACTGGCTTGGTGGTCCATTGATGGACCAAAGTAGCACAGTGGAATCAGCTTCGATCATATGGGGAAAATGTCCTCACTTCCCTCCACCAACATGCTCGTCATACAACCGAACAAAAAGGGTCAAGGGACGGGGAGGAGGATGGAAAGAAGAGACTACTGCAGGCGGGAGGGTCAACATTCGCAGGCCGTCAGCCACGCACTCGGACCCTTCTTATCATACCAGAATTTCATCGTCTGAGGCAGGTTTAGGGTAAGGTACAACGTGAACAGAGACAGTGTCGCTGCATCAAGGTTAAACTCTGAGTAAATTCAACAGTATGATTCTGCGTTGGAATTGTTCTGATGCATCATGTGCAGCGACGACCACAGCACCATTACCACAATCTAAACAATCAACATGGAGAGGTCAGAACAAATAGGGAGAGGAGCAGGTGAAGGAACGGGATAAGGTACGGGCCACGAAGACGGGGAATTGGATGGTAAGAGGATAGAGACTAATGGATGCGGAGAAGACTCATCAGATAAATCCCTTGAGGGTCCACATACGCAGGCCGTAAGCCTAGCATTCGGACTCTTCCTATCATACAAGAATTTCGTCATCTGAGGCATTAATCCGACTCAGGCAAAGCCCGACCAAGGCAAAACGTAAAGAGAAACAATGTCACTGCATCAGGGTTAAAAAGCTCTTGAGTTATCTCAACAGTATTTTTCTGCGTTGGATATTAGTTGCATCATGTGCAGCAGCGAAAATGCAGAAGCAACGGGAGGTGAAGGTGGTGCATAATCGAGAGAGGAGCAGGTGAACGGGATCAGGTACTGGCTTGATGGCCCATTAATGGGCCAAAGTAGCACAGTGGAATCAGCTTCGATCATATGGGGAAAATATCATCAATTCCCGTTCCTTGCAGATACCTCAAATCCCACTCACGAAAAAACAAAAACCTTAAATAGCAGACATCCAGGCGATAGTTGACTTACATGAAAGACCGAAACGAAGAACTTCACTCAACTTCACGCGTTACGAGAAGTGCTTCACATGGGCACAATACTTGTCGACAACAGAAGCCCCATCAGATCCGCACTATACCTAGTCTCGTTGGATACAAACATGGGATACAATGCCTACTACTCTGCTGGATATAGGTCGTCTGTGACCAGTTTATACGAGGATGGATTGGTGTGGCAGGAGAGAGCAGAAAGTTGAAGCGGTCATTGACGTTTGAGCGACGAGTTCAAGGGGGCTTTTGGAGGCAGTTTTGGGCTTTGCGAAGAGCCCTGCAAATTTTGCGGTACTTGTGGACTGCTGGGATTTGAAACAATACATACGTCGCAGGCTCAATCAATTACAGCAGACTTCGTATGACGAGGAAGCATTTGAGGGACACAAAAGAGCTGGTTACCTCTCAAAACGTTCTCCCTCATTTTTTCGCAGGTTACTGTTCTGGTTTGGTGCGAAATCGTCCTTTCAACTTCTTGCCCACCTTGCCAAGTCGCAGGGATTTGGCAGTGCTTCGACACAAGCAAGATCCATTATTTCCCATTGTCAGGCATTCACTCGTGTCCGCCAGCTTATCTCACACCTTTCGCCCGTCGGCCTCCTAGTCGATTAATCCACATGCAGTCCAGGGACGAACCCCAGCCGTCCGATCTCCTGCTCCCGTCATCGCTACCGTTCAAGCGCGTGCAGCTGGAGGAGAAGTACCCGCGCGGGTCGCAGGTGCGCGGCGGGCGGCACTGGAAGCATCTGAAGCAGATCCTGCAGCCGCACAACCTGAGCGACCTGCCGCCCGACGAAGCCAACTGTGCGTGGCTCGTCACCTCCACCTTGGGATTGCCGCGCTCATGCTAGCTGCTGCCTTTATCACAGCCCGTTTGGACCCTTCCCCATTTGAAGACTTCCCTCTTCCGCCACCTGTCCGTGCGCTGTTCCCTTTCCGCTTCCGCCGTTCCCTCCTGTTCCTGGCTGTCGCCTCAATCTGAAATCCGTTCCCCTTAAAGTGAATCAGTCGTTACTGCTCTCTCCCACCATCAACCTTCCCTGCTCTTCCCTCTTTCCTTTCCCTCCCCCCTCCCCCCTCTCCTCCTCTCCCCCGTTCCCCTTCCCTCCCCCGCGCGCGAGCAGACGTCACAATCGAGGCGCCGCCGTCCATGTACCCCGCTAAGAAGTACTGCGATATAACGGGGCTGGAAGCGCCCTACACGGACCCGCACAGCAAGCTGCGCTACGCCAACCCCGCCGCCTTCGCCATCGCGCGCTCGCTACCCCACCCGCACGCGCAGGCCTTCCTCGCTCTCCGAGGCGCGCACACCATCGTCAAGTGATTCTCGGACTCGTTTCAGCGTCAGTTTCTGGGGGTAGCTCACGCCACTCACAGTTCTTTACTGTCGCTCAAAGTCACGCACAGTCGCTCACAGTCGCTCAAATTCGATCACAATCGCTCACGGTCACCCTCCGTCATTGAAACAGCTGGCAGCCACAACCTCCACCTTGCCATGGCACTGTCACTGCAGCACCACCCTCTCTTGCCATCAGCAGCACCATGGCCATTGGCAGCAGCAGCAACGCCTCCACTATCCACAGCATTGCCGGCACACGCACCACTGTCACACCCTTCAAGCCAGCCCACGTCCGCACTTGCACAAAATTGCCCAAGAAAGCCAAGAAGCAAGCTCAATCCAACGCGGCGCTTGCCTCGCGGGCTTCATTTTCAGGCCTCTTGCGGGAATGCGCTCTTCAGCCTCTCTCCGCTGGTCCCTTACAGGCAGACTCATCCGCTCTCTGAGTCTCTCAGACCCTCTCCCTGCCACAGCCTCGCATCTCCCTGCTGCCGCTACACTGCTGCGCGCTCTGCCAGTGCCAGGCGTAGCATTGCTGCTCAGGCGGGTGGTGTTGCTACAAGCGGAGGGGACAGAGCAGGTGGAGTGACTATAACAGATGTGACAGAGTTAGGTGTGGGGGGGATGGAGGGGGAAGGGAGGAGCGTGGGTAAGGGATCTGGTGGGGACAGGGATGGGAGTGAAGGAGGGGTGGGGATGGGTTCAGGTGAGAACAGGGTTGGGAGTGGAAGTGCGGTGGGAATGGATTCAGACATTCCCAAGGTTGTATGGGAGCTCGAGAAGGAGACAAAAGAGCTGCTGGAGTGGCCAATCGTGTGCCGCCAGGTGGCGCGATTCGCGGACACAGTGATGGGGTACAGAGAGGCGGAGGAGGGGCGGTTGCCAGTGGGGCGCACGTGGGAGGAGAGCCAGGCGCTGCTGCTGCAGACGGAGGCAGCGCTGCTGCTGCCGCGACGGCTGGACTTCAATGGCGCTGTGGACGTGGGTGGGTTGCTCTCACGGCTTAACCGCAGTGCTGCTGCTGCTGCGGATGATAATTCCGATGCTGCGGCTGGTGTAGATGATGGAATATCCGAGGGTGCTTCTTCTGGCAGTGATAGTGATGGTGGTGGCAGTGACACCGATGCTGCTGCTGCTGCCACTACAGCTGCACCCGCCCCGCCGATGACCATAACTCCCTCAGAGCTCCTATCAGTGGCATCCCTCCTTCAATCAGGCATTGATCTAGGTGCATGCATCGGGCTGGTCCCAGATGAATCTGGCATTCTGCGTCCCTCCTCCTCCTCTTCCTCCTCCTCTTCCTCCTTCTCCACCTCCTCCTCCCCCAACCCCTCGCCTCTCGCCCCTCTCACGGTCCTCCTCTCCTCTGCTGCCACGTGTCCCCATCTCCTCCTCCGCATCCGCACTGCCATCAACCCGCGCCTCAAGTCCCTCGCTGACTCAGCAAGCGCTGAGCTGGCAGCCATCCGCGCCGCCAGGCGGGACAACCGGCGCCAGCTGGACGAATCATTGCAAAGAGCAGCGCGGCGTGTGGTGGAGGGAGGAGGGATGGACGAGGCACAGGTGAGTAGGAGGAGAGGGAGAGGGTGCGTGGCGGTGCGAGCAGGGAAGAAGAATGTTGTCACACCCGGGGGAGTTACCTTAGATGTTAGTAACACCGGCGCTACACTCTTTGTGGAGCCTGTAGAGGTTATCGAGTTGAACAATAACGAGGCGGAGCTGAGTGGGCAGGAGGCGGAGGAGGAGAGGTGGGTGCTGAGGGAAATGGCCGAGCAGGTGGCGGATTGTGCACCGTTGATTCGAGATCTGACGGACAGGATTGTTGCGCTGGACCTGGCATGTGCCCGCGCAAGGCATGCCCTGTGGATGGGTGCCTCCGCTCCTGTCCTCCTCCCCCCCACACACCCTCTCTCCCATGCGCATGGGGATGCAGCTTCAGCAGTAGATTCCCCTGGAGACAGTGGCTTGGGGAGACATGCCCTTGTAGGGAGAGAATGTGACAGAATCGAATCTTATACGGTTGAGATTCGCGGGATACAGCACCCAGTGCTGCTGGAGATGTATCTTGATGCCGTCAGTGCTGCTCAGAGCAGGGCGGGTAAAAGTAGTACAGGTGCAGCAGACACCAATGCAGTAGCAGCAACAGGAGGAGGAGGAGCAGAAGCAGCAGCAGCAGCAGCAGCAGCACAATTACCCCAGCCGACTCCCCCAGTGCCCATAGACCTGCTGGTGCCATCTGGCGTGGCAGTGGTGGTCATCTCCGGCCCCAATGCAGGCGGCAAGACCGCCGCCCTCAAGACCCTCGGGATTGCCGCGCTCATGGCCAAGGCGGGGCTCTTCCTGCCCCTCGCAGGGGACGTGGGGGGACAGGGAGGAGGAGAAGAGCAGGCCGGGGCGGCGGAGAGTGGGGGAGAGAGGGGAGGAGAGACAGAGGCAGAAGGAACGGGAGAGAGCAGAGGGGGTGGGGCGAGGGGGCGGGTGGCGGTGGTGCGGTGGTTTGACCGCGTGGTGGCGGACATTGGAGACGAGCAGTCGCTGGAGCAGAGCCTCTCCACCTTCAGCGCCCACATGCGCCAAGTCTCCCGCATCCTCCTCGCCTCCTCCCCCCACTCGCCCTCCTCCCCTTCCCCTCCCTCCTCTTCCTCTGCACCTTCCTCTCCCACCTCTCCCTCCTCTCCCTCCTCCTCTCCGTCTCCTGCTTTTTCCTCCCCCTCCTCCTCCTCCTCCTCCTCCTCCTCCTCCTCCCCCTCCTCCCCCTCCCTCTCCCCCGCCACCTCCGCCACGCTAGTGCTCCTGGACGAGGCGGGCAGTGGCACGGACCCCTCAGAGGGAGCAGCGCTGGCAGCGGCCATTCTGAAGCACCTGGCGGGGTGCAACGGGCTCACCCTCGCCACCACTCACTACGCTGACCTCAAGAAGCTCAAGGTAGGAAGGGAGGGAGAGTGGAAGGAAGGGAGAATGAGAGGGAGATAGGAATGCCAAAGTGTGTGTCTAATTTTGGGAGCTGTCACTACTGGCAGGGTGCCATGGGCTCACACTCGCCACCACTCACTACGCTGACCTCAAAAGACTCAAGGCATGCAAGGGCCTCCCTGGTACCTCCCATGCGCTCTTCTCTGCCCGACCAGTCTTTTAACACCCCCCTCTTCCGTTCACCTTCCTGACTCCGCCCCCTCCTTCCTTCAGGTGGCTGATTCCCGATTTGAGAACGCCAGTGTGGCGTTCGACCCGGTCTCTCTGCGCCCCTCCTTCCACATCCTCTGGGGTCTCCCCGGCACCTCCCACGCCCTCTCCCTCGCTGCTTCACGCGGCCTGCCCCCCTCCCTCGTAGCTAGAGCTGCCAGGCTGGCCCGTGATGCCAGTTTGGAGGCAGGGGAAGAGGAGGGAGGAGAGGGGGAGGCGGAGGAGGAGGAGGACGAGGAGAAGGGGAGGAGAATAAGGGAGAAAAGGCAAGGGGGAGAGAGTGAGGAGGATGAGTATGCTACCCTGGGAGGTGGGAAGGGAGAGGGTGAGGAGGTGGGAATACTGGCATCACTCAAGCAGCAGTGGCAGCGGAACGTGGAGTACGCGAGAGAGGCAGCCGAGGCAAGGCAGCAAGCCGAGAGGCTTCTGAAAGACCTGCAGGCCCACTACACCAGCAGGAGCACCACACAGCAGGGCCAGCAGGAGCAGCCTCTGCCTGTGAGAGAGGTGCTGTGGAAGAGAAGGTATCAGAGGGACGTTCAGGAGGAGGTTTTGGCAGCGAGGGAGGAGATTTCCCGTGTTGTTGCCGCTTTCCAGGAAGCTTCCCTTGCTGGTGTGCCGGAGCGGGCGGCTACGGACCAGGCCTGTGCTGAGGTGGCAGCGTTGGCGGCTTTGGCGGGCCTCTCTCCCGAAGCTGATTCTGCTTTGGTTTCAGATGCTTCAGTTGGTTCCTCGGGGGGTGATTCGGGAGGGGCGGACTGGGTTCCTGCTCTGGGAGAGCCTGTGTATGTGAGGAGGTTCGGCATTAGTATGCGTGGTACGGTGGTGGCAGTGGGCGGTGGTTCGGGAGAAGGCTCAGGAGAAACAGCAGCTGCACGGTCTGTGACAGTTCAACTGGGGAATCTGCGATTGCAAGTGCAGAGAGAAGACCTGCTGCCTGCTACCGATGGCAGTGGTGGTGGTGGGCAGAGCAGCACAGATGGGGAGGCAGGAAGGAGAGGAGGCACAGGAGGGTCATTTGGCAGCAGATGGGAGCAAGATGACGACAGTAACAATAACAGCAACACCAATAGTTCCAGGAGATTGAAGCGCGGTGGTCAGTTTCCCTCCCCGTCCTCCGCCTCTTCCACTCCTCTGCCAGCAGTGAGAGAGGCAGCAGTGCAGACAGCGCGAAACACAGTGGATGTGAGAGGGCGGAGTGCAGAGGATGCATTAGCAGCGGTGGACCTAGCAGTGCAGTCCAGCCCGCCTGGTGCTGTGCTCTTCATTGTGCATGGGCTTGGAACTGGCGTGCTTCGGGCAGCTGTGCTGAAATATCTCTCGGGCAGCCCGCTGGTTTCGCGGCACGAGGCGGAGAGCAGGTTGAATATTGGGTGTACTATAGCATATATTGGGTAAGTAGGATTTGCGGTGCAGTTGCAGTGCTAAGGGTGGACATGTGCCCTCCCTTCCTCTCCACAAACCATGTCCGCGTTGCCTGATAGTATTCCACGTTGTGTCAAGCTGCTTTGAGCCCACAGGCACGCCCTGTCAGAACATAATGCTTGTCTAGTCTGTAGTGGGGTACTCAATAGTGAGTATAACCCTTTTGGGCTTGCTATTTGTACTCCGCTTCTTTCTAGTTCAACCACCTTTCCTCTTCTACTGCTTGTACTTCTCTTTCGTGTACCCTAAACCTAGCTATGGCTTCTTAGTCTTAGCTACTATTTTGTCATGGAATCAGAGCGGTTACGCTCTTGGCCTGTGGGCCCCACGTGCTTCCGCTGCTTTCCTGTCTGTCGCGCGCCCCGTGGCGCGCGACGCCTTATTTTTCTTCCCGCCGCGCGTTTGGGTCGCGCGGCGGTTCGCTGCTCCGTCGAAGCGCCCCCCCCACCCCCCCGTCGCCTGCAGCAGACCCGCCCGTCACCCCCGCTGCCCCGTCGCGGCGCCCTGGGGAGCCGCGCGCGACCCCGCAGCCACGTCGCGGCGCCCTGGGGAGCCGCGCACGACCCCGCAGACATGTCGCGGCGCCCTGGGGAGCCGCGCGCGACCCCGCAGCCGCGTCGCGGCGCCCTGGGGAGCCGCGCGCGACCCCCCGCTGCCCCGTCGCGGCGCCCTGGGGAGCCGCGCGCGCGACCCCCGCTGCCCCGTCGAGGCGCCCTGGGAGCCGCGCTCGCCCCCCTCCCGCTGCCCCGTCGTGGCGCCCTGGGGAGCCGCCCGCCGTCCCCCGAATCGCTTACGGATCGCCCCCCCACTCCCCCCCCCTGCTGCCTTTGTTAGGGTTTGGGGGTGGCGCGTGTGGGGGTGGCGCGTATGGGGGTGCTGGTTGTGTGCTCCGTCCCCTGCTCCTCCTCCTCCTTCGTCTCCCACTGCTGCAGCTGCCGCTGAGGGGGGTGGATGTGTGGGAGCCGAGGGTTAGGGTTTAAGTGGGGGTGGCGTGTGAGTGGGGCTAGGGATGCAGCAAAGGGGTGTGTGATAGGGGGGTGTGGGACTGTTAGGGGGGGGAGAGTGGAGGTCGTTGTCGTGTCGTCTGCAGCGCCTGTAGTCCGGAGCCGTCGTGCTCTCGGTAGCCCAGCGAGCCTGCTTCGCCAGTCGCCTGTGGGTCAGTTGCTCCTGTGTGTGCTCGTCGTAGCCGCGGAGCCAGATACTCCCGTAGTCCGGTGCCCTCGTGCGCTCGGTAGCCACTGTGCGCGCCGCTCCTGTTGCCCGTTGTGTCTGCAGCTTCGCCCATCGCCTGCAGCAGATCGCCCCCCACAGTTTCTCCTCCTCCTCACTTGCCCTCTGTGTTAGTCTCTAGCCTTTGCTTATCACTATGATCTACAGCTCTGAATGCTTGTTGTGCTGGCTGTACCCCACCTTGACTATGGGGGTGTGTCAGAACATAATGCTTGTCTAGTCTGTAGTGGGGTACTCAATAGTGAGTATAACCCTTTTGGGCTTGCTATTTGTACTCCGCTTCTTTCTAGTTCAACCACCTTTCCTCTTCTACTGCTTGTACTTCTCTTTCGTGTACCCTAAACCTAGCTATGGCTTCTTAGACTTAGCTACTATTTTGTCACGCCCCCCTGCTTACGCATTCTTGAGCTCAGCAGATAACTGTTGGTGGGTGGGTGCAATACGGTAAGCAGCAACGTCAGAGCCTGGTATGCAGAGCAGCCTGATAACCGGAAAAAACTCATTGCCAGCTCGCTGGGTACTGTGGTGAAGAATAGATTACAGGTATGGATGAGAATTTGCTCTAGCCAGTCACACGTTGCCACGTTGTGTCAGATTGTTGCGACTGTTCAGAGGATGATGGGGCTGGCGTCCCTTTCTCCATGCATGGTCACACATCAGTCCTTGATGTGCATATGTGAACTTTTGAGTTTTGTGTATTTGTTTATGGCGACGGTGAACTTGTCATGCACAACACTCCTGGTTACATAGCGCAATAAATTGGTCATTCGCAGGCATCCCCACCCACACCACTTGTCGTACGAGCACACCGCTTCAGGGAAAGTAGCCGGAGTAAACAAGGACACTCGGCAATATGCAACATGAGGAGGAGCACAGCACGTTTTATTCATAGGAGTCAAGTGTCAAGGGGCCACAAGGGTCCCCTCCCCACTCAAGCCATGTCGGGGTTGCCCCATGCCACACTTCCACTTTGCGTCAACCTGCCTACTCTCACAAAAAGCACCCCTCAGGGATTCGCCCCTTGCTTACTCATCCCCTAGGGTAGCTCAATGAACTGTTGGCACAACAAGAAGAATTTTAGCAAGGGGTGAAGAAATCAGGTTAGAGGCTGATTTCCATGCCATGCCAGAGAATGATAACATACAAAATGCCCAGCAGTAGTCAAACACAAGCTTACCTGCCTCTGGTTCTTCTGGAAAGCTATCGCGCTCACTCCTGTTACGAGTTCCGAGTCATCTGAGAACAAAAGCAAACAAAGTCAGCGCCCATCATCCAAAACATTCTCTACACACCGTGGTTGAAGGACAAACACACTTACAATATCCACCAATTTTCTCATTAAAAGCCATCCACTTGTTTCTTCCCGTGAATAGCTTCGCCATGTCTGCATTCGATGTGGAGCCAGAGAACTCGCTCTTCACATGAACAAACTCAAAAGACTGCGGGTTGTCTTTGGGCGTCCATACGACTCCTCCGTTAGCCCTGTGATCGAAACATTTGATCACATAGCAATTGAATTCACCTGCGAATGAAAGAGAAAAATAGAGCAGCAACAGGGTTCAGCCTTTGGCTAGATGAGGGGCGGACAAGATACAGAGTGTTACTCGAGATACCACTCACCAGCTCTAGGGTAATGCTCATGGTTTCCTTCCGAGACATACACAATGGGATGTGTTCCTATCACCGTAGCAAATTCCGATGGCTTGGGGTCGTCCCAGTCAGCTCCTTCGTCCCACGCCCACACGGGGCCGTTGCCGTGCTGCGCGTACCAAATGCGCTGCGGCTGGCCGGTCTTTGAGAAACGGATTGCAATCGCCACCAGGTCAGTGATGTGGTTGTACTTTTCAGTCTCACGGTGGACAAAGTTCTGCACATGCAAAGGTTATAGACAATCTTGAGATTGACATAGTTATGCAAACGAGAAGGGTTTAATAGTTGCAACAGATTGACAACATTTTACGAAAGGGGGTGTGGGAGTGAGAGAGGGGAGGAAGTACTTGAAACCAGGGTAATATCTGGAATACTCACGTATGGGTAGAAGAGCCAATACTGAATCTCCACAAACGAGTCTTTGTCGTCGGGTTTCGGATTGTAAATGACGGTGTACAGCTTCGTGCCTCCGTTTTCCGGGTTGCGCGCTTCGTCCATCACCCAGGGGGTCCACTTGTCAAACTTATCCGGATGGTACAGGACAGTATTGCCATGCTCGCTCTTTAGATTAGGATTCTCCAGCAATGTATCGAGGTTATCGGGAGTGATCGGGCCCGCCTGGTATTCAACCTCATACTCTGTACCATCCTCAGTATAAAAACCTTTGGACGCAGTCACGTGTGTGAGGTATTCGTCGATCGTGATTGGCCAGATGGTCTCATCGGGGTGGAACTTGTACTGCGGCGAGTACTCGACGGCCAAGTTCTCCCAGAACGGATCGCAAGCGAGGTTTGTCTGCGGGTCGAACATGCAGGGGTCCACTGCTCCACTGGCCATGGGCGGGTTGGCGTTGCGAACCAGCATGGCGAATTGCTCCTGGAACCACTGGCCAGCTCGCGGCGCGTCTGCTAGGGCGTCTAGGTTAAGCGGGTCCAGGGGGTCGCATTCGCGATCCACGGGAATCGGCTCCGGAATCTCCTTTCTGAATTGAATACATCGTGGAAAGGGAGGAAGAGATATCAGCCAAGGGAAGGGAGAAACTACAGTACAGTTTGTGGACGCATCATACGAATCACCTGCACTAAAACAAAATGCAGGTCGCGGAGCTAGGACACTTACGCGTGACCATCGCTCTCCCCAGGCGGCTTGATCCAGACCACAGCGTCAACTGTCGGCAGGCAAGCAAGGTAAGGAGTCACAAAGGGGGAACGATAGTAAAATCAGAATCGTACTATAGAGAATAAAACGGATAAGGACAACCTGCAACAGCACGAAGAAGAAGCAGGATGCTATTGATAAATACCAAGTGCTCACCTTGCGGAGCATCACCGGGATCCGCCTGGGGGCGTTCTCCGATCCCCGCGTTCTTCACGTTGCACCACGACCCCCAGCGCGTTCGAATGCCAGCGACGCCGGACCGGCTGGTGTCCACGATCCACCTGGTCGGCAGTCCCGCGGCTCCCAGGTACGCATTCATGCGCGCGGTGAACCGGTTCTCGTCGATGCACGGGTTCCAGTCGTAGCACATCTCGCCCGTGCTCGGGTTTTGTACGAGCGGGCATTTCTCCGACGCCGGGCAGCCGTCGTCGGACGCGAAGAGCGGGCTGTAGTTGGCCACGTTGGACGCGAAGCCGCGGATCTTGGCGTTCTCGCGGATCTGCCGCGCGCGCGCGAGGACTATCATGTACACCGCCACGACGCGCTTCATCACTTCCGGCCACCCTGCTCTCGCATTAGACGGGGAGCGGATTAGGGTTGCGGGGTGGGGTGAGGGGAAAGGTGCGAAGCGAAACGACGGAAGCAGGGCTCCAGCTGAAAAGGGACGCTGCGCAACACTATTGGTGCTGAGGGGGACGCTGCGCAAAACGTGGCGGATCTGGGGCGATCAGGGCCGTCGGATCAGCCGGATGGGGGATCACATCCCTTCGAGATGCCAGCCGGTGTTGACGAGGGTTTGGAGCGGGAAGGGGGCGCAGGGGCAAAGGCAGGTGGAGGGGGCGGCGCGGCACACGCACTCACCGAGCCAGCCGCCGAAGCCCGAGTCGAGATAGAGCGTGGTGTCGGGGATCTGCGAGAGCTCCGCGATGGCATACGCGACGCCCTCCATGTACTCCAACTCCGTCGTCGCGTCGCACCGATTCATCCCCATGTTCGTCGCGATGTTGGGCAGCGAGTCGGGCTCGATCACGAGCGACAGACGCACGTTCGCCGCCTTGTTTTGAAGGCGCGCCACGGCAACATCAATGTAGTTGGCCTTGTACGTGTAGAGGCCGGTTTTGGGAATCTCCCCATTGGACGACCACGCCTTGCAGTCGCGGCCCGGGAGGTTGTAGCACGAATTGTACGAGGATCGGATTTTCCCCCGCCTGAGCCGCTGCGGCGTCCAGATGGCCTTGGATGGTGTCGAGCTTCGCCATCGTATCGAGCCACACGGCCGTCGGATGGTCCGCCACGCTCGCAAAAAACGGCGCATCCTCGTGAGACGCGGCGCGCATCGGCGCGCATCGCGGCTTCCACGCTCGCCTTGTACTCGGGGTTGAGGTACTGCTGGACTCCCGTGTACGGGTTGCCGGTCGCGCTATCGGTAACGCGGTAACCGCACGACGTGCCATTGGCGGCGACCAATTCAATTGCATTCATCGCGAAAAAGGACTTGCCAGTAGGCTGCAGGAAAGTTGCAGAAAAGTAACTCGGCGGATACTTTGGTTTTGCAACTTCGCAGTGATGGACAACAGTTGCAGAAATGCGAGTCACTGGACAGTTGACAAAAAGTTGCAGGAAAGTTGCAAGAAAGGTGCATTCCAGCAACAGTTCCGCAATTTCGCGTACACTCGTCGGATACATTTCAATCACATGTATGCAGTTTCACGACCTGCCACGTGGCATGCGTACAGTTTGGAGTTCGAAGTGTACGTACGTCGGTACGTTCGCGAAGATATTTTGCCACGTAAGCAAAGATATTTCGGTGTCATTCTCAATATGTGAACGCCAGCTTGCCATATGGACCAATCAGACAAGACTTCGCGTGTGCGAAAATTGAATACTACTGGCCGAGAATTTGTCTGAACAGTACAAGCGGACCATTCGTTTCAAGGATTATTTGTTACAGGTGGGGTTGGAGGTAATCTACAATATTATGGACGTCTGCATACATATGATGTATACACATTTAGTCAACACGAAACACCTAAAACCAACAATCACTAAGCGTCTGGTTCTACATGTAGTCACACAGGGCGAAATCATGCTTCGTTTTAAAGCCTGCAAACACAAAGACGACATAATGTTAGACCTTGGTTAGTCATATGCTTGTTCCCCACCTTAGTGACTTATCACCCAGGGCCTTGACGTAGATAGATAATATTGCCGTCAATGTGCTTCACAGGGCCTGGATCTTGATACCCCCCTGCATATGAAAATTAACATCTCGTGACTTCCATTAACCCTGCACATGAATATTAAACCTGAAACACGATGACTAAGAACAACAAACATGAAAACGTTATCGTTAAAGCCTACATTCCAGACAACATGGGTTAAAAACGCGCATGGTTCTTATCAGAGGCAGAGAGAGACCTTCGCGCGACTACCACACCTTCTCTCTCATGCAGAGAGCGTAGAGACGATTTGTGTAGTGGGAGGCTGCACAGGAAAACAACAACGAACCTGTTAAAGGTGGCACAGGCGTACAATATGAAATGGGAGGAAATAGATCTGCATTCATTATGGGAAGAAATGAACCAAATCGAGAAGAGAAGAAGCCTAAAACGTGAGAAGAAATGAAAGAGTGAGGATAAGAACAGGAGTGATGGGCGTCACATGATTCAGTATGCTTACAAATTTCAGTATGCAGCTGAACGTGTTTAGTACACACACCGGCGCTTTCCGCGCCGAACAAGGCGCTTCCGCAGCCGGGCAACGAGCTTTTCGTCGCTGCGTCCGTAGGTTGACGGGTGCTGAGTCCGCGGCGATTCGCGCGCAGAACGTCTTCCGAGTGAGTTGAGCAAGGCGACGAGCTGTATATGGGACGGGAGGTAGAAAAAAAGGGTAAAGAAATGAAAGGATGAGACGGTAGATCTGGGCAGATGTTGAAGGATTGATACTTCATACACTAGTTTATTAGATACACAACGTAAGACGTACGTTCTACGGTATACGCTTGCTGAGGGGACGGCAGAGACACGAGGTGGGTCGAAATGGAACAATAACCTGAGCAAGATGTGTGAACATCAGCTGGGCAACTAGCGGTTTAGGGAGAGATACACTCGTAGTGTGATGCTTCTAGAGCTCCAATGTGTGATGATGTGTCGTCACGGATGCCGTAGATTTCTGGTTTAGGTTAGACCACACCAGTAATTGGTCATTAAAAAATCGTGAGGATAGCTCAATTCCGGTTACCTGTGGTTCGGAGAAGCCACGTCACTTGCACAGAATCTGAACACTTTGGGTGTGACATGGAACTGTGTGCCAGCTGCCAGTTACGATTCTGGCTTGTTTTTTCGCGAGCCTCGTTTTATTTTGTATCCCAGTTACTATGCTCGCAACGTTCGACAATGCCCACCTGATTCGGGCTGCAGTGTTCCTCAATCGTACACCAGCACGGGGGACTCAAGAGATTTGGTCGTGACCAGGTGTGCTGTTCGGTGAAGATGATTCGAAAATGATGCAATAAATTCGCGGCTCGGGTAACCCACGTATCCACAATTCGCGCCTCGGGTACCCCACGTATCCAACATGCGCGGCTCGGAAGCCACATGTATCCGAAATTGGTGCATGTTCCATTTTTCACTCAGAGCTTTTCGGATACTTTCTGCAACGTTTCTGCAACTTCCCTGCAACCTTCAGACTTAAACTCGAATTTGAGCCAAAACCTTTTCCGCGATGTTGATTGCCCCTTTGAGCCAGCACGTGCCGCCATTTTCGGCCGTCCACGTCCAATGCGTGCAATCCGCGCGGTCGAGGCACTGCTTTCCGCACGTGTCGCCCATGCCGGCGGCTTGGCCAATGTCGTTGCCCTTCCAGTCGCAGTCGAACGACCACATCACCCCCCCTTGCTCGGGGCTTGAGAAGTTGAATGCTGACGTGGCTCTCACTGAAAGATTGAGAGCCACCAGCACTACTACTACTCCTACCAGTGCCAATGCGTTTCGGATACACCCAGTCACCATCGTTTCGGTTGGTTGTTTGGAAGGAATAATTGAGTTTCGAATGATTGAGTTTCGACATACTCAAGGGACCGTCGTTTTTTATAGAGGGGGACCAGAACTGCGGCTCGGATCGCATCAGGGGGAAGCTTACAATGCCTCTCGTTTCCCATACTGCTTTCCGACCTACGGTCCGAGACGTAAGTTATGAGAATTCTTGGTGACGCCATGGCTTGTGAGACAGTTCCCGTGTACGTGAGGAATGTCTTGCTTGGCTGGGAGCTACCCTGGCTGCGCACAGGTTCTGTAATGTGTGGATGCCGTGGCGTGCGCTGGTGAGGAAATCTGGATTCTGCTTGCAGATCTGAAAGGGGCTGTCCGAAGGGAAGCGATACTCCATAGATTGTCGTTCAGAGTGATTGTGAAGGTTTTGACGCGGTACCACACGGTACTGTATTGACCAGTTTCAAACGAAACACGCCAAACAAACCCGTGCTTGGCGACCTACGAAGCCTGGA